TAAAGGAATTTGATGGAAACCAGAGTAGGCGTCCATAAAGCTCATCAAAGCATGGCCGGCTGTTGAGTCGACCAGGTTATCAATTTTAGGCAGAGGGTAACTGTCTTTGGGGCACGCCTTGTTTAAGTCTGTGTAGTCTACACACATTTGCCAGGTGCCATTCGGCTTTTTAACAAGCACCACATTTGCAACCCAGTCTGGGAAGTAACATTGCCGAATGAACCCTGCATCAAGTAATTTTTTAACTTCGGCGGCTGCCGCCTTACTTCTTTCTTCGCCATGGTTCCGCTTCTTCTGCCGTACCGGCCTCTTTTTCGGATCCACGACTAGTTTATGTACCGCCAGATCAGGACTAATGCCTGGCATTTCATGGACTTCGAATGCAAAGATGTCCTTGTATTCTTTCAATAGTTTGTGAAAGTCGTCACCAAGGTCTCTCAGAGCAGTCGTCCTAACTTTGACTGTTCGCTCAGGACGTGAGTCGTCTAAGATCAAGTCCGTATGTTCACCAGACGGCTGAGGGCGGAATTCATCCGACCGCTCCTCTGCCAATGATTGCTATTTTTTGTCTTTTCTTGCGGCCCCTGTCCGGGATGCCTTTCTCTTCTTGCCGCCTGCTTCTTGAACAGGCACACTCTCCTTGACTTTGTCAAGGTCTGTTTTTCCACCAGTCGACCCAGTGACCATAACAGTGGGCTTGACATCCGAGAGATAGCACTCTCGGGCCATCCTCTGATCTCCCCTTAGGGACCCGACTGTTCCATTATCCCTCTCAAACTTGAGCAACATAAGAGATGGGATTATAACAGCCTTGGAATTATTCAGGGTTGGTCGTCCCAGAATCATGTTGTAGGCCGAGAGTTCTTCTATTACCAGGAACCGGACTACCATGTGTCGTCCTTCCCTTTTTTCGCCCAGGCGGATGGGTAAATCCACTCGTCCCACTGGGTGGACGACTACTCCTCCAAACCCTACTAAAGGGTGGGAGGTCGGATGTATGCAATCAGTCTGATATTTTAGTTTTGATAGACATTTGCTGCTGATGAGATCTGAGGAGCTTCCGGTATCTATGAGGATTCGGCCAACTCTCTGGTTGGCCACTTTACATTCAATAACGATAGGGTCGTCATGCGGCCCTCTTACCCCTCCTAGATCTTCTTCAGTGATGACAATCTCAGGAAATGAATATTTGGACGGCCGTTCTTGGTGAACGGAATTTACATCTAACCGCCTGATATTGTCTTTGTTGCCCCTAATAGTGGGGCCGCCTCCTGAGAAGCCGCATGCAATGGTGTAGACGACTGCATCATCTGTATCGGAGTTGTCGGCCTGTTGATTCTTTTTGGCCGACTGCTTTTTTGAGGAAGTGTTCCCCGTAGATTTCTTGACATAAGTGTCAAGATCACCTTGCTCAGCCAGGCGGTCCAGATACCGCATGAGACTGATGCATTCATTGGTGTGATGACCAACATCTTCATGATAAACACAGAATTTATCTTGGTTCCGGTTGTTTGCAGAACCCTTCATGGGGACCGGCTTCTCAATTGAGATCCGTCCCTTGATTTCTTTTAGGATAAACTGGTTATCCTTGTTAAACGCATACTTTGGGGAGTATGGTTTGAATTCTTTTTTCTTTTTCTGGGCCGGCTGTTTAGAGGAATCAGCCGCCCAGACCTCTTTTCTCTTCTCATCTTTGTTTGACGACTGTTTCTATCGTCCTTCTCTTTTGTCGGACCTTTTCCCGTCCGACTGTTTTACCGTACAAAGATCAGTCGCCTGTATATAGGCTTCCGCTTCAATCAAGGCCTCTTGAAGAGTCGCCACCCTCTTTCGGACCAAATCAAATTTGAAGGTCGACCCGTCCTTGAGACCTCTGAAAAAGTCAGTATAGGCTACTTCATCCGGTAACCCTTGAATCTGTATTCTCATCAGGTTAAACCGCCTGATGTAAGAACGAAGCCCCTCCTTCTCGCCCTGCTGAATTGTTCCTAAATCAAGGGTCGTCTTCTTCGCAGGGATGTTCATGGCGAAGTTGGAGGTGAATAAGTAAGCAAGCGTCCTGAAGCTATTTACACAACCAGTCGGCAGGTTGCCGAACCATTGTTGTGCGATTCCTTTGAGAGTCGCTGGGAAACACTTGCACCAAGTGGGATCATCCAACCCTTGAAGGTACATCAGGTTGGTGAAGGCCATAAGATGGTCTTCTGGGTTAGTAGTGTCGTCATAGGCGCCTACTAATACATTTTTCACTTTGGCCGGCTGAGCGGCTTCAGTAATTTCCTTGGAGAAAGCCGAAGACTGTTCACCAAGTCTAAGCAACCGTAGCTGCCAGTCCATAGGTTGGACATTTTTTGCTGCAGGTCCACCAAACGGAGGTGGCTGTAAGAAATACTGTTGTTGCGGCACAAACGGTAAGTTTGGTACCGCCTGGTCGCTATGAAAGCCGGACTGACGGGAGGTGCCGCCTGACTGACTCTCATGATACGACTGTGTATGCCTCATTGAGGTATTTCGCAGACTGTCTTGGAAGTTTGAAGTAGAGGCCGACTCTGACAATCGGTCACTCTTCTTCTGCTCTAGCAGTAGCCGAGCGTCTGTGTATGATTTCCTCGACCCGTCCGCCTGAATATGACGAACAGGTTTCCTATTTCCTGGAGTAGGAAAACGGTATTTTGTGAAATCAAGGGCAGTCGGCTCCCGCTTCCTAGATTTAGGATGAGGATTCGCCTCTCGCCCTTGAACTGGCTTCCTCTTCAGTGAAGTGGAAGGTTTCTTAGCCGACTGCTCCTTGTCCAGAGCAGGCGGCTTCTTGTTGATCAACTCTTGAATTTCTCCCTTGAAGTCCCTCATGAAGGTCATGAGTTCGTTCCTTGTGATGGGAGCAGACCCATCAGTCAGCTGCTGCCGAACAGGCGGTGCGCCTGCTGGCTCGCTTCCTGTATGAAGATGTTCCCGTTCCCCCCTTTCGGTATGACGGGTACGTCGGGCCCTTAGGGTCCCGTCTGAAGCTGTGTGAGCTTCAACTTCAAATTCATTCTCAGTATTGTGGTCCGACTGAACTTGAGGGTCGTCTAGGGGACGCCTCTCTTCAGGAGTCGGTACAAACGTGGATGCCATCTCAGAAGTACTCTCCCCACAGACGGCGCCAAATGTTTCGGGGTTTTCTGATGTCCTGCGGGAGAGTTACAATTCCGAGACTGGAACCGGACACCTGTACCTGCAAAACAACGGAGACTCCTGGTGGTGGGAGCTCCGCCTCCAACGGTCAAGTTAGTACTTGATTAAGGAGTAATTAATGCGGAAATTAAAGTGATTGGGTCTCTCTAGGTGAGAGTGTTTAATGTAGGTAATCTGCTTTGTTATCTCTGTAATCTCTGTCATCCCCCCTTAATGAGGATTAAGGGAGGTATTTATAACCTTGGGAAACGTGCCAATCCTAGGTTTAGGTTAACCTAGGGCTGATTGGGCTTCCCTCGGAAGTTGGGCCTGGGTGGACGGTTTCTCCATTAGGCATGGAGTATGCCACGTGTCATGACATAATAGGTCCAAGGTGGACGAATAAGCGCGTGCCACGTGGCAAGCCCTGATACTTCCAACTGGGGGACACTTGGCAGGACCTGATTGGCCCACGTGGCGCATTCCGATTGGTGGGAGCAAAATCCCCTAATCAATTAGTACTCTAATTAACTCCAATTGTACATTAGTTTATCACAAATACTTATATGTGACTGGCCATACTTCGTTAGTATTATAGGGGTTATTTGGTCAGTGTTACAGGGGTTTACTTCGGCAGTGTTATAGGGGTTACTCGCTCGATTAGTATATATTACAGTGGTTACTCGATCAGTGTTATAGGGTTACTTTGTTTTTTTACAAGCAGTCACATGGTGTGGCTAGCCGCACACAAGACGGGCTGTTAAATTAGTTTATTCATTTTCATGTACTACTTATAAATTATTAAATCTTAGTAAAATTACGCGCAAACACAAGTGTTGCAACTTATTACAAAGTTACAAGTGTTCATAGTATGGAGTAAAATTAAGATCAAGATGGAGAATGCTCTATTTTTCTTTTGTAAATACCCATTTGTTTTTGTTTCTAAAAAATTCAATGCTTCTTTAATCGTCAATACATATTACTCCGTGTGATTTTGTCATGCATCTTTAACTTATACTCCCTCCGTCCCTTATTTTTTGCAATGAATTCTTGTTTATGGGTCAAACTTTTAAAACTTTGACCATGAATTCTTGTTAATCTATAGGTGATAATATATTCATGTGGGATTTTATTAAGAATCGTCTCATTGTATAGTTTATTAATATCAAATTTTAATAATTTTTACGCGTATAGAAATGGAGATATATACGTTTGAAGACGTGTCTTGGAGACTGTGAAAAGTCAAATGGGGCAAAAAATAAGGGATAGAGGGAGTACCAAATAAGAAAAGATATTAGATGGTATGTAACCCTAAGAGCCACATATAGCATTGCACATGTATAAGAATCTAAAAGAAGAAAGTATTAATGAAATACATTCATTTATTACACTGATATGCGTATAATTTTGTCATGCATTTTTAATCTTATATCAAATAAGGAAAGATACTAAATGCTTATTTGTAGCCCTAAGGTAGAGGTGATCAAATCCGGCTAGAACCATTAGCCCAGCTCGAAAAAGGGCGGTTTTTGGGCAAACCATAATACACTTTTTAGTTTAAAAAACCTGAACCTGTTCTGAAAAAATTTGTAAAACCCCGCTTCAGCCCGACAAGCCAGCTACTTTTTGCGAGTTTAGGCATGAGATTTAATGTTAAGGCTTAACCCAACTCGAATTTTTAATCACCTCTACCCTAAGGATTACATATAGCATTATCCTTTTGAATTTTATATATCAAAACAATTCCATTAAGACTACATAGCTATAGAGTACCTTTTTTCTTACATGTTGGTGATAAAGGTGATCAAACCTAGCCTGACCCCGAAAAAAGTGAGGGTTTAGGCTGAATTTTAGCCCGACCAACCCTGGCTCGACATTTTAATTTTTTCACCGAGGACAACCCAAAATTCAATTTTAGTTAAAATTTGGGCTTAGGCACGGGTTTTGGTCTAAAATGGGCCGATTTTTGGGCAAAGCTCAGGCCGACCCATGATCACCTCTAATTGGCGAGAATTAAGCTTCTCAATCTTTTCCTTGGTACATCTTGCAAAAACAAAAATAGAGTACTTAACTTATGCTAAACAGAATGGTTACAATAATTGTAATTAAAATTACCAAAAAGACAAACGTGATATTTATAGAACGAAGGTATAAAAACTCTTTCGTCACTGTATCAACTATCAAGCAAAGAACGTGTTTCCCATTTAAACTTTTTCCTATTCCAAGAGACAATGTTCAGAGTATAAAAAACACAAACAAAAATATAACTTTGTACAAATAAAATCTTATCTTCTTCTCAAGTTTCCCCCCCACCCACCGCTCAAATAACCCACAAAACTACTCAATTTTTTTTATTCTTCCTCATTTCTATCCCCAAATATACCAAAATAATTCCATTTTTTTTAAAAAAAAAAAAAACCTTATTATTCCCTATTTAGCTTACCTCATTGCTCAACTCTGTAAATTTATTACTCCATTTTATTTGTCGTTTGTAGAAAAAAAATAATAAAGGAGATTTTTTTTCCTTGAAAATTTCGTTGATTAATTTTTCTAAGTCGGCGAATTTCTTCTAGTACGTTCTTCAAATTCTCGAAATTTAATGTTATTTTTCTCTACTAGTATTTGTTTTTTTGCTTGATAATTTTATTTTATTCTTGTTGCAGTTACTAAATAAGGTAACTTTTTGTGAGGTATAAAAGAAAAGTTACTAGAAGAGTAAGAATAATACTTACATGATGAACTATTATGTTCCGGATTTCGAAATGGAAGACGACCAACACTTGATTTCAACATCATCTACGGTCACCCATCACAGCAAGTACACAACTTTTCCCGAGCTTTCTTTTTTTATTTTTTTATTTTCAGCTCGGGATTGATTGATTGAATTAATAGTGAGGTTGATAGTGTAATTTTAAACGGTGTCACTTATTGTGAACAGGGCTGAAGACGAGATTCTGGAGTTGTTATGGCAAGATGGTCAAATAGTTGCGCAACCTCAAAACCAACGCAAGTCGCAATCGTCTAGTACGCCTCAACAAACACAATCACACTATCAGCAAAAGCAACAGCAACAGCAGCAACATCAGCAACAGCAACAACAGTTATACATGGCCGAAGATGAGATGGCAACATGGCTTCACTACCCGTTAGAGGACTTGTATAGTGATCTGTTAGGTGATAATACTCAGACAACTCAGCTTCCAGCGGTAGCTACTACCGTCGTGCGTCAACAGCCGCAGGAGGTTATTCACCCTCCTGCGGCTGTTACGGTAGTAGTGAAGCCACCGCCTGTACCTCCACCACCGAAACCGACTAAGAATTTTCAAATGTTTTCAAGAATGCGCGGTAAAGATCCCGAGGTGTCGTCGAGTATGAGGCCGGAGTTAACCGTGGTGGACTCGAATACGACACCGGCTTTGGTGACCATGAAGAGTCTAGGGGAAGTGTCATCTGCTTTTCCTAGCGGTGGCGAAATTGGTGGCAGTGATTTTGTGTTGGATACGAAAGGGAGTGGGGAGGTGACGGTTTCGTCATCGTCTGGTGGGTATAGCGGCGGCCCTTCTAAGGCCGCCGCCGAAGATGCCAGGGATAAAGGGATTAAGAATGAAGCGGGGGATCGAAAGAGAAAGCGAAGAGATAATGATGAATCTATGACCCCTTCTACTACGGCCATTGATCAAGTGAGTTTGTTAATTACCTTAGCTTCTTCATATTATTGGCATGAAGGCATATTGGATGTGTTTAATTTTCCATAATTGTTGGTTCGTGGATAATGTTTGGATGTTAACTAAATTAGTTGGTTGATATAGAGATACTAATAATTTAGTGATTTTGTGTGATTATATGATCTTGGAGAGTTTTTAAGGAAAGGCAAAATAAGTCTAAGAGTTAGTGTAATATGAAGTGCGTAATACTAAGTATAGATAGATTACTATGTTTAATTCCATCTATATTATCTTATACATATTAGGTCAGGGGATAAGCATATCAGTTGATTTAGTTCTCGTTATGGCTATAAATAAGTAATTACATAGTTTGATTTTTCCACTATTTACCTACAATCCTACATATAGTAAGTTGATATATATGCATACAAGAATTAGATGTTTGGGTTCTTGGTTAACTATGCAATTATGACTTAAACTTTTTTTAGAGAGTTACATTACTTGTATAGGAAGATTAATAATGTAAAGATGGAACAAAAAATCATGCAATAATATAGCTAAAAAATTAAAGAAGATAACACAACTAACTATATGTCGTGCAAGTATTTAAGATAGGTTCAGTGTATTATCTGCATTGAATATGGGTCCTCTTTTTTTGTCTAGTTTATTTGGGTGCAATGATACCTTTTCGCGACTCCTAATATTTTTGAACATTCATATTCCCTTAAACTAAATTAAAGGAAACATTAAATTCTTTAAATTAATTAAATTTAGATGTAATAAAACAGGTTCATATATTTAGATTTTTCATATAAAATAATTTTAAATATCTTAAAATAATTTCAAACAAATTAAAATAAGTTCAAATAAATTAATTTTATAATCAGATGAATTAAAAATAGTCTTATACTCTTATTTTAGTTTATATGAAGTATGTACAATTTTTTTTTCCTTTTTTTTTTCCTTTTTTTTTTCCCCTTTCCCTATAGGTCTGGGAGAGATTGAAAAGGGAAAACTATTTACCAAATCATCCATAATAAACAAATAAAATGTTGACAGAACTATAAGAAAGGGCTTGAAGTGAAAAGTGGAAACCCATTTAAAAAAAAATCGAAGAAAATAAAAAAAGTAAAAAGTGAAAGGAAGTAGATAAAAGAGATGTTATTAGTATGGAGGAAAATGAAAAAATGATTTTGGCACACTACAATTGATCTTTACACACTTTTATGTGTGTTAAGGTGTGCTTAAATCAATTTTTGTTCCGTGTACCCTTGAGGTTTAGAAAAATGCATCGTGTACCTCTTAAATCTTTCAAATGCATCGTGTACCCCTGAAATTTGTAAAAAAAATGCACCAAATACCCCTATGCTCATAACAAATGTTAATTTTGTTAGATTGAGACCCCAAGGCATCAAATTCTATTAAATTATTACAGTGTAATGCTACTGTAATGCTAAAACATTTAATTATCGAGTAAACTTAATTAATAAATCAAATTCTAACACCCAAAAGTTTAGGATTTAGAATAATTCATGGAGTTCAAAGTTTGATGTAATTTATGTTTTTAGGTGGTTTTACTACATAAAAATAAAGTACTAAAAGGGAGTTAGTGTGTGGATATGATTTTAGTTTGATAAGTTAATGATATGTGCATCTCTTAGATGATTAGGGTATTTAGTGCATTTTTTTAAGCACCTCAGGAGTATATACTATATAGTGCATTTAAAAAATTTCAGGGATACACCAAACAATTTCCCTTTCTTTTAATAGAAATAAAATTTCAAGAGATTGAAAATAATACCCTTACAAATCAAACAATAAAAAATGATAAAATTGTAGCGTGTAATTTTTTTTTTACTGTACTTTCCAATTTGACATGCTTTGATAAAATCTTGTACAGAGTATTACAGTATAACTTTGTAGATATGGGTATTTTTTATGTTAAAATTTGACTTCGTAGTTCTTAACTTCCTACCCTCTTTAGGACTTTAATTATTGGTTTTTTGGGGGGCTTTTTTTTTGCCCTTTTTACATATAGAATTATTGCTTTTTGTTGTATACGTGGTTGAAGTTGGTCAAGGGTGTTGCTGACATGTCAAGCATTGATTGTGCCATGTGTAGAGAGTCATAATGAGTACTGTGAGTGAACGGCGGTGCTATCAAATCATGTAGAATAGAATCAATAGCAATAGTGTTTTTGCTCCGTTCTTGAATATTTGCAACTGTTACTAATCTAATTGTCAATAGAGTATATCTTTGACCATCCAACCACATATGAAGTATTACACAATTATATTTTATAACTGTATATTAATAGAATATATATTTAAAATAAATGTATATATAATGTAAACATCAAACTACGCCAAGTATTCAAGATAGAGAGCGTATTCTGTGAAAAAAAAAAAAAAAAAAAAAAAGAGAGAGTATTATCAGCCCCTATTTATTCACCCCAAGTCAAAGATATTTTAAGTGAGAAATAAAGTATAATCCATTGACCATTTGTTAAAAAATAACAATTTTTAACGAACGGACTTAAACTGAATATAAGACAAACAATAAGTAACGGAGGAGTACATAATAATTACTTCCCAATATACAAAATTAAGGGGTAGTATGTGTCGAAATAAATAAATATAAAATTAAGGGTAGTAATTGACAAGTATAAAAGTTTGGGTCAGATTTGTCGTGTGGTCTCTCTTTATGGATTGAAGTTGAGTAAGTGGTTAAGGCCCACTTTCACTGTCGTAGCATGGGTCTTACTATTTCATGTGGCCATGTGGGTGTGACTTGCCGCATATATTCTCTATCCTTTACCCTTTTTTTTTTTTTTTTTTTTTGGTAATAAAATATCTACAATTTCTTATTACCCTTATTTTACAATCTCTAAAACACATTCTAAAATATACGTAGTATATGTCTTTAACTTTGTATGCATAAATGCCTAATTGGTAGTAATAAATTTGATACTCTATTTTCAAAATAGACATTAAAAGGAAGCTAATTAGATTTCATATGATTATATGACTTCTATTTATTACGAAGTATAAATTAGTAAGAATTTGTGTTTAAAGTTTGTACTTTTGGAGGGCTAATAAGGGGGTATATTTTATTGAGCAGAACTAGATGTTGACCCATGTGACATCCGAACCGTTAATAATAGTAAAATCAGAAATAAAAAGTGGGGTATCTTTTGGGAGATATGAAGGGTTTAAGAGGGAGAGGTAAGGATAAAGATTGCTTTCCAAAAAAAAAAAAAGTTAAGGATGAGGATTGAATGAATGTACTCATGGAAAAAAAATCACCGTGATCATGTAATCTACAGATTGAAATGCAGCCAAAATTTAACATAAGAAACGGTGCTCTTTCCTAAGAATCCTAACTCCATTATTCGTTTTATGTGAAACTTATTAAGAAGATACTAGGCTATGTTATCTTCGTTTTATTGCATATAAAATTACAACGAGTAATTAAATTTATTATAATCAAATTTGAAAAATTCAGACTAGACAATATCATGTGTGTGTGACTTCTGTCTTCTTAAATTTATACTACTTTTTCCTATATGTAACATACAAATACTGTCAAATTTCAATCAATATATCTTAGAAAAACTAGCCTTGGTGGTGTGAAACTTGAAAGAGCATGTTGTTTAGCTTAAATTGAACATTCGATATAACTCTGTAGTCTGTACTAGACAAACATAAATAAGCTTATGTTTAATATTGTAAAAGTTCCTAAGAAGTTCCACACCCTCTTATTAAGTCTTATATAAAGGTTATTTATGGGATAACGTACTCTTTCAGTCTGAAAACTAGAAATAGTAGTCACGTTGATAGTATAATTTGAAATTTGAGTAAAGCTTTTGTTGTAGAAAAGCTAACCAATTAAACCAGTTAGCATCCTTAAATTGAGTAATATGATAGTTATATGTGGACAGCGAAAGTATAATTTCTTGTGATTTCTGTTACCAAGTATCGTAACTCTAAGGTGCATTAACCCTTCATGTCTTGCATCTTGGTGTAAGGTCGAAAGCATAAGTAAGCTAAATGAAATCTCAAACCAAAGGCTTTTCTTATGTAACACTTCATAATTCCTGCATGAAACTAGGGTGGCTTTTTAAAAGGTAGGGAAAAAAAGAAGCCAAAAAGCTACGCCACACAAAGCATGTTCCATTTCTTTTTCTGCATAAGATAAATTTGAACATTATGATATTATGTTTTCAACAAACTAACCAGCAAATTTAAATTTACACAAGGATGTAGAGCTTGAAGGTGATGATGACGATGAGAAGAAGCATTCCCATGGCTCACATGGCTCGAAGAGATCTCGTGCTGCAGAGGTCCACAACCTCTCAGAGCGGGTTAGTATCCTATTATTTCAAATGCAAATTCTGTATTCTTGAAATATCTTCTCTGATAATTCAAGTGTTGGACTGCAGAGACGTCGAGATAGGATTAATGAGAAGATGAAGGCATTGCAAGAACTCATTCCTCGCTGCAACAAGGTATGAAGGCTTAATCTGATACTCCTATGTACTTACATGGCTTGTTCATTAGGTAGTAGTAAATGGCGATTGTAGTAAAAATAGTGATTGTAATGACAAAATATGAACTATTTTGTAAGGAAAGTTCTATCCAAAGTTTATGTTAATGGAACTTTATCCCCGAGTTTGTGCGTTTCTTTATAAATTTCATTACCGCCTTTGGGGTGGCATATTTATTGAGTGGTAATGAAAGTTTATGAAAGAAGACAGATCCTTGGAGATGGAGTAACATTACCATGAACTTTGCCGTTTGTTTTACAAAATTACATGTAAGTACATTATCATTAACATCATCGTCATTGTCATTGCCTATTAAACAGGCTAAACGAATAGATACACAATTTACACACAACATTTGACTAGAGTTTTCTTCGTCCTTGAATACAGTCAGACAAAGCTTCAATGCTTGATGAGGCAATCGAATATTTAAAGTCACTGCAAATGCAAGTTCAGGTATTACCCTCTAATCCTCTATTCCTCCTTTTGATACACTTATACCTGTATCAGTGAGACTGAAGTTGATCAATTTTTACCAGATGATGTCAATGGGATGTGGCATGGTTCCAATGATGTACCCTGGAATGCAGCAACAATACATGCCACCAATGGGAATGGGGATGGGAATGGGAATGGGGATGGGAATGGATGTGGGGATGAATCGCCCGATGATTCCATTTCCACCCAATATGCCTGCTTCTAACATGCCAAGCCCCTCCGCAACTGCAGCAGGGCCTCAATTTGCTCCAAGATTCACAGTCCCGCCCATTCGTATGACTTCTTCTCCTGCTTCCAATTTCTCTGTAAACCAAACCAGCATTCAAGCTGATTCTGTCCGTAGCTCAGTTCCTGTTCAAAGTTCCGGCCTGCCACAACTTCCTAACATGGCTGACCCGTATCAGCAATACATGGCTCTCCAACAGATGCAGATGCAGATGCAAATGCAAATGCAGATGCAAGCAGTTCAGGTAACTCTGCCTAATATATGTAATTTTTGGGGGGATATTTGTGAACGTCTTTGTCAACCTGATATGGCTTTGCTAAAGAACATGACAGACCATCAACATTTTGTGTTTTTCAGTCTTAACTACGTTTTGCTGGACATGAATAAGAGTGACAAGATGCCAGTTGTGTCTTCAACTGTTTGAAAATTCTGCATGTTTTTTGGTTCAAAAAAAAGTTTCAATGGCAACATCCATGTTTGCTCCATAGTAGCGTTTTGTTTATAACTTGTTTCCACTTCCACCATGAACATGTGATTACAGAAAAACAGTAGATTTACGTGTTGACTAGTAAAAAATCAGGTCAAGCCACATAAAAAGGTGAAGAGCCAACCTTAAAACTGGGAAGCTACCTATAAAACAAGGCAGATACTTCCCAATGAATAAGTGTTTTGTTGAAATTTTTTTTACATTGTTATAATGTTGGAAAATGTTGGTAATGCTTTGTTTGGCCTTGTGCTAATGAAAGATCTTGGTTTGTTGACAGGACCAGCCTGTTTCCCAACCTGGGTCAAGCAAACCAGCAAGCACTAGCAAAAGCGAAGGCCAACCTGGGCCAAGCACTAGCAAAAGTGAAGCCGATGATGATCAATGACTATCTGATCAAACCAAGTAGAGCAGGGCTGAGTTACTACCCAATTCTTGTTTTTCGATGTTTTAGAATACTTACAGATGATTTTCTGTTGCAGCAGGTTGATATTTTTGGTTAGAAAAACGGCCAAAGGCTATTGCCTGCAAAAATTTTGTACCATGAGGTTTATAGTTGTTCCCCCCCTCAAGTTTGGCCTCAAGCAATCAGAGTACAAATCTTCCGCGAAAAAACACAAACCTTACAAGTGAAGACAGTCTCATGTAAATGTTATTCTCCAGATATCGATAATTTGTTTTTGTTCAGCTAGTGACTTTGCTCGGTGCAGTGCAACACGATGCAAATATCTTACAGTTGGTAGAAATTGATAAACGTGCTTTCTACTGATTGCGTTGCACCATACCAAACAACAGATCAGTTAAATTAACAGAAAGATAACATAAGCTCAGTATATGCAGAGATTGAGAAGAATCGCCTTCGTAAATCTGTATGTTCCTTCTAACTTGATATAACTAAACACCAATTAACTAGTCTATATACAGGTTAATACATAATTCCATATACTCGAACTCAATGGCTGCATTTGGCAGACAGTAAAACAATGATGGTAATTGTTACAAAGTTTATATGTAATTTTTGAGAATCACAAAAATGTAAGTTCATTGTTTTATAAGAAAAATCTCGTGCTAATGTTTATGGTTATGTCAGTTCTTGGCAAGCATCTCTTCCTTAATATATATATTTTTTTTTTCTTATACGAAGTATATTTTTACCGTGTTTAAAATTAATGGTGGAAAAACACTTACAGATGGTGATTTATTATCATGAACAGGATAAAGCTTATCTTACAAATTCTGATACAAACCAAATTACTAGTATCATTTATTACCGTCCACCAAACAAGTCATTCGAGTAAAAAAACACGCCTCTGCTAACTACATAGCCCCTTACCAGACAAGGTTTAGAAGAGATTGATTGGTAGAGAACATAATTTCAAAATGCACACGGTTTTTGGCAACTTGTTTGATCTATTGATTGTGCTTAAGCAATAAAATTCTGCATTACTGCATACATTACCGTACAAACACTCCAATGCACCACGATATTTGTTTGGCCAACTGGTTTTACCTAATGATCAGTTAACCAATCAATCACCAGTAAAAAAAAACGTACAGAATGCCACAACTCTTGAACTCACAAGAAAAGACTGTTTCCGTATCAAGTAGCTATCAGATGACACATCGAAGGTTGGAAACCAGGGGGTCACTTGACATCAAATAGATTTGTTCATCTTGATTCAGTTGTAGTCTGACCAATTACATAACATTTCTCTATATCTGCTCAAGCTGGATGATGTTACAGAGAAACTCACCAAAAATTGCACTAACATAGCGGCTATACACTCTCCTAGGGATTCGCTGCAGACAATACCTGTAAACAAGACAATTGGATGTGAGAAGTTTAATACGAAGGGTTCGTGAATCATTTCAAGTAAAGCAACCAATATCAACCATAGTTCACTCAAATGGTCAAGTAGGCATGGAGGCAGGCCCTTAACTCAGGGCAAAATGACCCACATGCTTCCTTCTACAAAACCTCAGCCTAGACACAGCCCAATGCCAGGCCGTTAAAAGTAGGAAGGACAAGCCTTAGTAGGAAGACTAGGAACATAGCACCATCAGAATACCTTGTCAGAGAATAAGCGGAACACATCTTCACCCATAGCCTTTTCAAGTTCCTGAAATCATTAGATATAAGGAAAAGCAAATTCATTATGTAGTGCTTGTACAGTAATCCTAAAACTTGAAAAAAGCAGACAGTTTATCGCCTCAGGAAAATATAATATTCACTTACTTCCAAAGCATTTGGGGAATCATCTATGCTGCAGATGAGCTTTTGGAGGCCTTCACTCTTCAAAGCATCTCGAATTTCAGAAGAAGCGACTAAAACAATTGAGAAAAAAAAGTGTTAAAGAGGCCAAAAATTCCAGTAAATCCTGTAGTTGCCTGTGGTGTCACAGTGAGTCCCAAAAGTTATGATACGAAAATTGTCCAGCACCGATTCAATGACACTTTGACTTTTGGGTTAATGATGAACATGATGCTCAGAAAGATTGCCGTATGATATGCATAACAAGAAAGCACTGAAAAGATTCAGACCCTACTTCATGGATGACAGATAAGATTTGCTGATTATTAGTTCTGATAACACGCTCTGAAAGCCTGTTGAGCTCAAACAACTATCTGAATTGAGAACAAATGGTTCAAGAAAAATTTCAAACCTAAGTAAACAACATCATCACAGAGGACTGTTATATCTTTTTAATGCTCTAACATAGTGGGATGGTGGCGGAAACAATTTGCAGAAAGAGAGCTACGAGTGAAGAACTAAAAAGTATAAGAAGCACCTGAAAGATCTAAACCCTACTTGTGAATGGCAGACTTATTTTTTACAATCCATAACAGTTAACGACAACGTAAATTAAGGACAAAAGTCAGACATCATTTTAGAAGAAAGAAAACCAGCATTGTCATTCATATGTTGTATCTTAAATTCTTAATAATGCTCTCAGTAAAGATGGAAACATGTAAATCATAAGCTTTCAATTGCAAACCCAGAATGCTGATTGTTTACTATATTTACATAACTATTTGCCGATGTAATACATAGAAATGACATTTAATGTTGTATTGGTATTGTCGAATGACTTAGTTTTTAGGTCATATGGAACTAGCTAAATGGCTAATATTTTGGAATGGAATTGAAAAATTACTCTTGATAACTTCTCAAAACACTCAGACCTTCAGACAAGTTCCACAAATTAGTAGCCCTTTCTAGTTTACTTGATGATTCATACCTATAGATTCCAATTTAGCTTTATCCAATACTTCACATGGTTCATCAATAAAGAGTGGTCTTTCTGTAAGCGTTTGAGGAATCACTGTTTGCCAAAATCAAGAAGAAGAAAATATTAGCAGAGAATAGGCCATATATATAAGATGCAATTCAGGTACATAATTTCACTTCATATAGCATTGAGAGCAATGTCAGGATAATAATGCAGCTATGTAACATAAGAAAATGAATAGGCCATGAGAGCCAAATGCTTCCTCTGTTTATATTGATACTTCTCAATGAAACACATTTTATCAAGCCTACAGAATGGTTTCACAAAACAAAATGTAACCAATTTTAAAATAAAGAGCGCAAATTGCAATATGTGATACTTTTCAAAAAGGCCACCGAAGAAAGGACATAACATACTGAGGAAAAAGGGGGAAAAGTATAGAAGAAAATACCATACTTTAAGTAAGATCATTCTATATTATAAGCTGAACAACAAGAGGATCTTGATAAGACTACTGCTTCTTACTTGGTATTTTATCACAGGATACAGGTATAGCATACGATGTTTCTGCACAGATGAAAGAAAGACAATTCATTACCAAAGGTAATAACCATGATGCACAAAAATAACAATGAATATCAAATAAACTTAAGTTATAAGGATTCGTACTTGGTTCATCATCAGACACTGCTGGTTTAGAAGCCGCACATGGAGTTTCAATAGATGTTTCTGCACAGTTGAAAAACCAATCGTTACCAGAGGTAAGCACCAAGCTACACCAAAATAATAATCAATATCAGAGTAGAAAAAATATACAGGTTCTTACTTGGTTTTTCATCAGACACCACTGACTTCACAGAAGCACACGGAGTTTCTGACCAAATAAAATAAGCACATATCAGCCATCATCTTGACAGCAGAGACTGAATAGCTATATCATCAAGCATACCTTTCCCCCTAACAAAGTTATATTGTTCTGATCATAACATACACTTGTCTAAAGAAACATCGTCTCATTTTGTTAACTAACTAAAAAAGTGATAGCAAACTTGTAGATATTGTAAAGGAAACTAGCATAAATTAGATAATTCCTTAAGAAAACTTGAAAACATATATTTTCACATTTACTGTGTTTTTGGACACGGGGAATTGGTGGGAAAGGAAAGTGAGGATTCCATTTTCATTAATATGGATATAGATGGAGGCAACGGAAGGGAAGATAATGAGGGAACCTAATTTCCTTTTTCTTTAAATAACCAAATCCTCCTGAAGTTGGAAAGATCTAGAAGGAGAATGCCAATCCACTTCTTCCCCTCCTTTCTCCCTCCTTCCCCCTTCCCCTTTGCTTCACCATTGCTATCCAAACATAATTTTAATTACAGAGTATACAAATGAGGATAACTCCATAGACAACAGTCATACCTTTATGCTTCTTGAAGCAAGCAAGGGAGCAACTGCAAATTAGAAGACACAGCAATTAAGCATCAGCAGAATAATGAATATAAACTACACCATAACACAATCAACAAAGACGATAAAAACCGACAACAAATGTGGAGGAGGGAGGTTATATATAATAGTTTGTAACCTAAACCATTGATACAACATTTGCTTGCTTACTATGGTACAAGACATGCTGGACATTTGTATTTGGATTTTGCATCGTTGCAGACCTTACACTGCTGTGGACCCATGCTTCTTTCGGCTGCGACTTAAAGCTAGCTATGCAAAAGAAGCTTCAGCTACAAATGCAAACAAGAACCATCACTGCAAATGACATAATGAGGATTACCAAAAAAAAATAATACTAATACAAGTATAAAGTAATAAATCAACCAGCTAGCTGCTAGATTAAACTTCAATCATATTATCAGATTTTACATTATTTTTCCTTACAATTCCTCAAAAACAACTTTTGACATTTGACAAACACAAAATCTATCATTATAGCAATCTACTGCATTCACAACAGCATCATCACAAAGGGGAAAACCAATTAAGCAAAAGAATTAAACCCCAAATTTTATTTATTAGAGTTCATACTCAAATTACATTTTTCGGTATACTTGACCAAATTAGAGTACAAAATATGAGTGCCCACATGATGAAAAATGAAAAAGCAGAAAAACCCAAAGTTAATTTAAATTACTGAATCAAAAAAAAAAAAAAAAAAAAAAAAAAAACCACCCAGATAAAACATTGATTAAACTTGAAATTTGAAGAAAAGGGATAGATGAAATTGCTAAAAAATTCCAGACCTAGGTAAAAATTCAGAGACAGCAGTCCAGAAAATTGAAAGAAAATTATACTCCTGAAATACAAGAATTTGAAGGCTACGAATGAAAAAGAGGAGAGAGTTAGAGAGATATACCAAGAGCTTCAGAGGTTACTATGTTGGAGTTTAGGTAAAGAACTCCAAGTAATGATTCAAAACAGTTAATTTCTCCTTTGTCAAAATATTTTACATGGCTTCCTAAATTAAGCCAATTCAATTCCTTGATTTATGCTCATTTAGTCATATGACTTTTGGGAGTTTTGGCTTAATTGAAGGACTTAAATACTATCCATTTTTTTTTGTCTAGTGACTAAATTCATTATATCTGGTTCACTCTCATTCGTGACCAGATTTGTTGTATACAGTTTACACTCAAATACTATATAAACATCTCTTTTTATTCCTTTTCAAACAGAGAAAAAAGTGATATATATCCTCTCTTAAAATGATTTTTCATGACCTCCTTTCTATTGAGCATTGTTCGAAGATGTTTTCAATCTAATTCTCCGTTGTACTGAAGAGTTGGAGTCGTGTAACCCTGAAGGTCGATTGCTACGAGTCCATGTGTACCTGTGCGGGACAAATTCGACTTTAGAACAGTGATCTATTGTCACGCCACGACATTTTCCAGATAAATTGTTTAATTATTTTAATTGCTATTAGTCATATTTCCTACATACTATGATGGTGTTTCCGGTGCTCTACTACAAACTACAGAGTTCTACCGAGTTTAAAACCAGCCCAGGACTTTGCGGATATAAGCTGCCAAAAAATTCACCCGAAGTCTTTACTACGAAAGTTCACCCGTTTAAGAAATTTTGAGCTACATTTTGATTAGCAATTAGTAGTGTACTCGTGATTTTTTTTTTTTTTCATTTTTTTTTTTTTTGAAAATGTGTACTTGTAATAATGCACGAAATATTATAAGGCACTGTTTGGCAAAACTAGCGGTAGCGAGTAGCTTTTAGTGGTCGAGTAGCAGGTAACTATTAAAGTAGTGGGTAGAGGAGCGGTAGCGAGTAGCAGGTAACTATTAGAGTAGTGGGTAGAGGTAAGTTGTCTATGTAGCGGTTAATAGTATGAGTGTTTGGCAAAAATAGCGGTTGAAATGTTAAAATACAATAGAAATCCATGCATAATATTTAAATAGTAAATAAAATTTGTCAAAAGCTACCCGCTACCTTTCAAACGCTAATGTTTGACCAAAGATACCTAAACATTACCTCTACCACTAACTGCTATGTTAAACGCTACCTTACCAAACGCTTATTTTTTCCCTACTTGTGTTTTGATTTGGTTCAAACGCTAATCGCTACCTAAAACGCTACCTCCAAATAGGGCCTAAGTTTAGAAAAAAAAAAAAAAATACCGGTAGAAGTAAAAGTTATAGTTTTTTTTTTTTTTTTGGTGTTAATTAAGAATTTAGGCCTCGTTCACTTCATCTTATTTTTGCTGAATTGAAATTATTTTTACTGAACTGAAATTATTTTTGCTGAACTTAAATTATTTTTACTAAACTAAAATTAATTTTACTGAATTGAAATTATTTTTGCTGAATTAAAATTATTTTTACTGATTTTCTGTTATATATATTATTTAAAGTTACTGAATTTTACTGAACTAAACTTATTTTTACTGAACTGAATTTATTTTTACAAAACTGAAATTATTTTTACTTAATATTTTTTTTGTAAGGGGAAGTAAACGAGGCCAAGAATATTAAAATGTAGTAAAAATTATGATTGTAATAACTTTTTTCAAAACAAAATGGAGGAATTACTAATTGTGGTACGTTCACTAAATTGTATATTCATCCTTTGATCTTATTTCAAGAAGATCAACAGAGAATATCTAAACAAATTTTTGTTGCGGATCAAAAACTTTTAAAATTGTTTTATATATATATATTTTTTTTTTTTTTTTTTTTTTTTGAAATAACCTAGGTGTATCTAGTTGTTTCATGTGAATTCGCTATTCACTTGTACCAATGTATGAAAGTAATTGTTATTTTTTTTTGCACAATGTATTTATGTAAATCAATTTAAAAACTTTATTAGGGTAACAGTAAGATTATGTACACACTTCTCCTATTCCATCACCCTATGTCCCTATGTCTTTATTTGAAGATGAATATATTCTTTAATTTTGAGATAAAAGCTGTTTTTTCCGGGACAAATGGACATTCGATATTAGGTCAGATTCAGTTATGAGTTCAATGGCTATAGGGTAGACCTGATCAATGGTCGGGTCAGGTCGGGCCTAGCTTCGGATCAAAAATTTCATGCCCAAACCTACTTAAAATCACCAGGCCACACGGGCTTTTCGGGGCATTTTTGAACCGGACAAAAAAAAAGAACTAAAATTGCATAAAAAGGCGTTCCCAAGCCCGTCCAAAAAATTTGAAAAATCGTGCTAGGCTAGGCCCGACCCGATTTCAGGCCTAAAAAAGCTGTCCAAAACCTGCCCAAATTCGGGCCGGGCCATCTTTAATCAGCTCTACTATAGGGCAATGCACATTCCTCTAGTTGTACTGGAATTTCATTTTCAATGTCATGAAATCTCTATATGCAAGAGCATAACCATTAAGCATTCTAGTCCACATTCCTCATATTAGTTGTTTGATGTGTTCCAACACAAAGTAACTAATTAAAAAAGCGAAATTAATTAAGAGGGCACTACTAATCTTATGGCTTCGACCGATATTACTTCAAAAAGCTACGAAGTACCAAGTACTTGAATCAAGTAGTATCTGACTTGGTAAAAATCATTAAAAGCTATACCAAAAGTTGTTAGCGACTTAGCGGATATGCCAATATTACATTTCAGACTTGCGCCAGATAAAATTAGAAACATGGAAACCATCCCAAATCCATCTAGCGAAAACTCAGAGAGCAGAAAAGGTAAATCATTTTTTAAACATGCTCAAGCATAATTGATCAAAAACTAGGCACTTATAGATGCAAAAATAACATCTACAAAAGTACATTTCACAGGATCATAACTTAAAAGAACAAATATACAAGGACTAAAGGGGAAAAACACAGTTCTATATAATTCTAGTCGAAAATAGATGCAGGCTTTTCACATATATAGTCCTTCGGGCACGCCTTCTTTCTTCTTGAACATCACCTTTTCTTTCGCCTTCTTGAAGTCCGTATGTGTAACCTGGATACACCACAAATGTCCCAAAGCTCAATCAAAATATTTATAATCAAGTTAACTACTCTGTTTACAGAAAACAATAGACAAAAAATAAACCCTTTTGAACTACCACCACTCTACCAGACAACATAACAAGCAATTAGCAGAACAGCAAAATCAAGCCAAATGTATTAGGGCAATTTCTTGAGCTAATACTGCTAAAGGCTATAAAACCAATGGTGCAGTTTGGTTAATAAACATTTAGGTGAAAAGCTTGAAGTGAAGAATACAAAACACCACGAGCAAGAATATATTTGCATGCATGACGCTTCTCTTCCAATATAATGCTTCAGGACTTCAGATAAGCAATAGCCTCATTTTTTATTCAGTCACAAAAATAATTATAATTCAAATCAACAATCAACAAACAGTTAGGTGAAAATCAACAATATGAGAAAAATAATTTACTCCGTTATTTTCATCAATTCAACTGAAGTCACTTTGCTTCAAACTGAAAGATATCACAAGTCCAAAATGAAGGTTAAAAATCAAGAGAACTAACCTTCATACGGCGCTCCCTCAAGGCAAGCAACCCAGCTTCAGTGCAAATGGCCTTTATATCAGCTCCAGAAAACTCATCCTTGGTCATAACAAATTCTTCTAGGTTGACATCATCAGCCAGTGTCATTTTTGAGGTGTGAATCTGGCAAAAGAGAATTTTTAATGAGAGACTTTAACATTGAAGATCGAATTTGTAAATACATGAACTGGATAAGACAAATAAAGGAGAACCAAGTGTACCGTAAAAATTCTTCTTCTTGTTTTGATATCAGGAAGCGGAAACTCGATTTTCCTATCTATTCGCCCAGGACGAAGTAAAGCTGGATCAAGACTTTCAATTTTATTTGTTGCAAGGATAACTTTGACATCCCCTCTTGAATCAAAACCATCCAACTGGTTGAGAAGTTCTAACATAGTCCTCTGAATTTCACGTTCACCGCCAGAATGAGCATCGTACCTGAAGGTCTATAACTGGTCAGCATGCTACATATCCCCATAGCTAAACGTTTTTAACATTTTATGTTCACCACATTTACCTCTTTGTCCCAACTGCATCGATTTCGTCAATGAAAACGATAGATGGTGAAAGATCATCAGCTACCCTGAAGAGTTCCCTAACTAATTTTGGACCATCACCAAGATACTTCTGGATCAATTCACTACCAACAACACGTAGAAAAGTAGCTGATGTCGAATTTGCCACTGCCTAAGGAAATTCAAAGACGTCATGAGTTAGCGATGGCTGTCGTAAGGGAGACCCCCCCCCCCCAACCACCACACACACACTAACTATAAACATTCTGAGAAATGACGAGTGGTTAAATCAAATGCCACAAGAAATGAGCAAGGAAGTAGCTAGGTAAATAATTATACAGCAAAAATATACCAGAAGTCAGGCAGATTCACAGCTGCAACTCACATACTTAACACCAGCAGAACACCATGTGCAATAACAATACCATAAGCTAATCATATTATAAAGTACTCTTCTACGTCAACTCCTCAAGCACCCTCAAATTGATACAAGGAAGTAAGCACAGATTATGAATAAGAATGGGTCAATATCACATTAAGAAGTCAAATAAGAACCCAGTCGGCCAGTCATTGGTTAAACAGAAGGTTCCTATTCATAAGATCAGCACAAGTAAAGATAGCAGAGTGATAATCACACATTATATCCAATAAGAACAATGTGCTAAAGTGATACTTCATACTTCAAAATTTAGCTTCTTTGCAGTGCAGATGAAGTTCCTCTAAACTATTGGATCAAACTAAAAATATTAGAGCTCAAAAATTCCATCCCAATTGATTCAACCTACCCTTCTGAAATCCAATGGAGACCTCCACAATCAAATCACATAAAAAAAATTAACGAGACTCATCCAAAAAAAAAAAAAAAAAAAAGGCAAGTGTAGAGAATTGACCACCCAACTGATCCAAGAGTAGGTACTTTGTAAAAAAGTAAGAGAAACTGTGGCAGAGTGTTGGGTTGCAAACAAAGAGGCATTCAGACGACTAAAGTAACTCCTCTCACAAATAATAGGCAAAGGATAGAGCAAGCTGAAGGGTCCTGTTAACTACTGTTCATATACTTCCCAATAACTTAAACAAGCCACCGATCAACTGTATATCTGATGAGTACCAGCATTACAAAAGTTCATGGTGCAGTAAAGCTATATGGGTCTTTGAGACTAGGTGCAAAGCATAGGTGAGAGGCATGTGCTCAATTCTTACAATCAAGAATTCTGTGTAAACAGGTTGCAGACATGAAATAAATGCATGCTATGCAGCCACCTGCATCTTTTTGCACACCTCAACGTAAACTCTTAATCAAGACCTTTCTAAGTGCTTGGGCACACAGCCCACCTTTTCAAATACTGACTATGCCTCCTAGAGTCCTAGAGAAGAGGTTCTTGCAACTTGAAGGGCAATAGGAGGTGACTGGACAAGGAAACAAGAGGAGCAAGCCACTGCTTCTAGTAGGCAAAGCATTTTTCCTCCAATAGGATACTTCCTAAGCTAGATCAGATCTTATCACTTCTAGAAAAGAAGGAACATATGAGGGAACAAAAACTACTCAAATCCTTTGAGAGAGGAAGCTGACTGAAAAATGAAAAACAAAACTGATTCACATATTCTAGAATTTTCATCTAGCTTTCTTCTCTATCGCCATTCTCCTATCCCCCTACTCCCCGTTCCCATAGGTTAGTCATCCTCCGAGTAACCTAAACTAATACTAGCTCAGCATAAATTTAATCGACACTTAGTCACTTGCTAGTGTAAATTATACAATTAATGTGAAAATTATTTACTGTGGTGGGAGTATAGCAAGACAAGGAATATGGTTATTCAAAACCCCTGAAACTTTCCACGATATTAGAGAACAAACAATGATGTTTGCATAGTTTTCATGCCAGGATCACCTCCCCTCATGATTAAGCCATAAACAGAATTAGCCAACATATAGTCGTATCCCATGCTGTCATGAAGGGACGTTACTTTCCCATGTGTTAAATGTCAATGTTAATCTATATTCTCCAATGGTCTACTCTTTATCACCTCCCCTACACTAGCCGACTTCTCACATGTAAGGAGCAAGTGAAGTTACACCTTGAGATGAAGATTACCTCTCAAACCTAATCAATAATTTCTAACTGCTAGGAATTCATTCTGCAAAATCCCAAGAGATGATGTGTAATTGAAAATTAATAAATAGAGCCACTTCACAAGAAAGTGAATAACACTCTACTAAGATGACCCACTAAGCAATGGAATTTCTCACAATATTGAAATGCAGATCCATTAATATGACATGGAAATAACCAAAGGTATGCATTATAAAATGTTATTGTATAGATACCTTTGCAAGTAGAGTTTTCCCAGTACCAGGCTCTCCATACAGTATGACTCCCTTAGGAGGTCTAATACCAATGTCTTCATAAAGCTCAGGGTGAGTCAACGGCAGCTCAACTGCTTCTTTAATCTCTTGTATCTGAGGATCTAAGCCACCAATATCAGCATATGATTCTAATGGAGCCTTCTCAACTTTCATTACAGACACCATTGGATCAACTTCATCTTGAAGTAAACCAACAACAGAAAGAACCTGCAAATTTCACATGTATTTTATTTTATGTTCATCCTCTGATCAGAAAACATAAAAAGACCTGAAATATTGGAATTGCAAAAAGTTTGTCCACATCAGATCTCTAAGTAGCCAGCAATAATTTCAGGAAAACCGTCAGTTTGTGCAGAATCATCTAGTATGATTTGATTCTTTCATTGCATGATAATGATGCTAACATCAAACATGAGAATTTGTTCCATTCAAGAAAGTATATTAGAATTTCACGAAAGCCAGAGGTTCTGCAGAAGATCATGTGATAAAAACCAGTATGAAATGACTCTCATACACCATGATGTTGATATTAAACGCAAGAGATCCAAAATCGAATCACAGTATACACTAACTTACACAGGAAACAAGTGATCGATTGAAATATAAAATTTGATCATACTTTTGCCCTTTTGAAAAAATTACAAAGTAACAAGCTTGGCCCAAGTAGTGATTATCATGTCTGGTCACTAAATCTCCAGAACCATAATATTTGACGTTACTCGAAAGTCTAGCATTTCTATAAGGAACTTCTCTAGTTCTCTAGCCCTTAGATATACTCAAATAACAAATTCTCCTTGCAAAGAACCTTCTCATTCTTCACAAACAAAGATCACTTCACAAAAAAAAAATTATATACTGTGCACACTTTTCTACAAACACAAACACATCAGTAGTCCTCAATTCAACATATATGATAATTGCAATTTCCTGCTAGCTCACATCCATACAACATTCTTCAATTGCATAACATATCTTAATCCCCCATATACAACTCTCACAATGTAAAGCTCACGGTACCTCAACATCACATTTATGAGTTATACTAATGATATCCTAGACTTTGGTACACAAGCCTAAGCAAGTGCACACTAAACCATCTGTTAGCCAAACATTAAAAATCTAATACTCGAGTTCTGCAGAAGCTATAATTCAGAATACTTTTACATTCAATTATCCCAAAATCAAAACTTTCCCACCAAATCATGCAATCCACCCAGTAGTAGTACTTACTAATTTACTATAACACCATCAATTATAAATCAAGTTGAATTACACCCTAATCCAAATGCACTCCTAACCCTAATTCATAATTCTCTATTCACCAGCTCCCAGTACATAATTCACCGATCACAAAACCCTAACTTAAACACCCAATCAAACCAAATTCCCCAAACCCTAACCCTAAATTTCCAATTCACCATCAAATTACCCAGAAAAAATCAATCAAATACAAACAAAACGAACAATCACAACAAAATTCAAAAACCCACATACCTTATTATGCATCAAAATCGAACAACCAGGCTCCAATTGATCCTTATCAACAAACGACAAAATACTAACATAATACTCAGGCCCAACAGAAGAAGAAACAATGGCATGATTTTCATCAATCAACTCCTCTAAATTCCCAACACTCATGGGAGACCCACGAATATCATCAACCTTAGAACGATCTTCCTCAGTTTTCTCTTCCTGGGGTTTAAGCCTTTCTTGATTAGCAACAAATTCTTCCTCCATTAAAAGATAATCCTTGATTCTCTCGAGCTTCAGAAGCCTGAGCTTGCACTTCGTTAATGGGGTTACAGTGGGAAGACGAGCTGCTGCTTCGGGTCCTTTTTGCTTGCGCTGCTTTCGGCCGACGCGCGCAGGTGGTGCTGCTGGCTCGTATTTCTTCTCCTTTTTATCGCCGTCGGATTTGCGGTCGCCCGGAGGACCGCCTTGGCGGTTGAGGCCACTGCTGTTTTGACCCATCGTTGGAGGAAAGAAAGAGAGAGAAGTGATGTGAAGAGGTGGGGGGAGTGACGAGAAGAATTTATAAAAGGGAGAGAGTGTTTTTAAAGATGGGATCGACCGATCATGTTGCGTCGGGTTTGTGTTTTGATATGGATTTTAACGATTGTAAAACTTTTAATTTCGGTTGAAAAGTTTGGAATCTTGAGTTTCGGTCAAGAAACGCTAAGCAACACGAGTTTAAAACTTAAACAACGTCAAGAATATACAAGCACAAGCTTACGTAAAACTTTATAAATTTCAAAGCGACAAAAACTGATTTTATTAATAGCATAAATGCCATTATATAGGCTACACATAAGTACTAAGGGGCCGTTTGGTTTGCACGGGGTAAACGGAATGGAATGAACAAAGGGAATGAAATTGAATGGAATGAAAATCCCTCAAATGTAGTATGTTGTTTGGTTGTAAAAATATAATGGGAATCACTAGATTCACCATCACCACTGTTGATCTCTTTCATTAAAATTTTCCCCACTCTCGGGCCTCTGGCGACCCCCTGCCTGCACCCCAGCCCCCTCCCTTGCGCCGGCGACACCAACCCCGGCCTCCTTGCCGCTCCCTCTCCCTTCTCCGACTCCTACCCACCACGTAAAAAACCCTAACTCCGACGACGTATCAATCCCATTGCTCCAACGTTTAGATTCGTTGGTGGTTTGAGGGGAGGGGAATGAGGTTTCGATGATGGTGGTTTGGGGAGGGGAGGGCGACGACAACGGTGACGAAGGTAGCCAGGGGGTTTGGGGAGGGGAGCTGTTTCCGATGATGTGTCGTTGGTGGTTTAAGGGGAGGGGAATGAGGTTTCGGTGAGGTGGTTTGGGGGAGGGGAGGGCGACGACGACGGTGACGAAGGTGACGACGGTGAGGACGGTGATGGTGGTTCCGGTGATGTGGGTAGGTAGGAGGGTGGTGGTATGGTGGTGTGGTAGTGGCCAAGAAATGGAATGGAAATACCTTGGGGGGTGGGGAATGAAGTTGGAGGGATTTGGGGGAATAAAGGGGGTAAAGGGAATTGGAAAAGTGGCCTAACAAACAACAACAAAGAGAATGATTCCCGTCGATTCCCATTCCCTTTGTTGAATACCCCCAACCAAACGGCCCCTAAGATTCCTAATTAGTAATTACATTAGAAAGTCCTAGACAAATCAACTATCCAAATTCCTAACACGCTCCTAATACTTAATTAAGATATAATTATTTGAAAAAAAAAACGTCCTAAACATAATCCCTAAACTCAAAACTAATCAAAATAAATAACAAAATTAAAAAGAAAAACTTTTTCAAGTGAAAAGTAAAAATTTGTAAGCAAAATATATTAAAAAAATAGCAATTTAACTACTCGTACTAAAGATCGAAAGTTCCAAAAAAGGTAAGATTTCCATTATTATTTCGTTTCATGTTTTACGATGATTCGTACTGATGTGATGAGATGAGAATGAGCTTCGTTTTATTGAAGTTGTCATGGCATGCATTACTACTTTAGCGGCCCAAACCAATACTCTTGTGTCAACTTTCACTTACTATGACGTGTTATTTTCAAAAGAAATATGGACTAATTAAGATAAGTGTTTGGTGAGTGAAGGATCAAAACCATCGCCAAGAAGAAAATCACATTTCTTAATCTAATATTTTGTATTGGTTTGTATTGATTTTCCGTCATTAAAAAAAAAAAAAACTTATATTTATAGGTGGATTGAAATAAAACAGTTATCAAACAATAATTGAGTGAACATGATATTTGATTATTTGAGTAAAACGGTGTCAACGACCTCAACGTATCACATTCTTAATTTGAAGGCATGAGAAATGTGAAAAACAATTATGTGCAATACATAAAACTTTTACGTCTAATATATTCTTGCATTGTGGCCTAATATCCACTTAATTCAAGAAAATTAATCTGAGTACATATAGGAAACTCATACAAATAATTAAGCTTTAAGCCATAGATTTTTTTTTTTTTTAAGCTTATAAGGGCTACATAATTTCTATTCATAAGTACAATAAAGCTCTAATTATTCAAATATATTTATTTTACAAGGAAGACAAGTGATGAGAACTAGGGCTATTCATCGGTCCAAGACCGGACTGGATCGAACCAACCCGAACCGGACCGATTAAGCTAGGACTGAACCTGGACCGGACCGAAATAATCAGTCCAAAACCCGGACCGGTTTGGGACCGATTTTAGAATTTTTATAAAACAATTTCCTAAATTTTAAATAATTTATGGAAAACTCGAAAAAAAATTTAAGGAAAAACAATATTTTAACGTCATTTTTTGTATGTTTAGTACAAAAAAGTTCATATGACTAAAGTTTTCCAAGGTTGTTAAGGAATCTTAATCATTATTAAAGGTTTTAGATATAATTTTAAGCAAAAAACCGGTCTGATCCAAGACCGATTTTTATAGGGTTTTGGACCGGATCGGACCGAAGACAGCGTAAATAAATTTCTCGACCCGGAGACCGGGCCGATTAATTTGGTTCGGCACGGTCCCGGGTCAGTCCAAACCATTTTTTCGATCCGGACCAATTTTTGAATACCCCTAATGAGAACATAATGTTACATATTAAGGTCATGAGTGTCATGGTGCAACAAAAGCATAATGCTTTTTTTTTTTTGAATAGAAGCATAATGCTTGTTTAGACAACTACTCTGTAGTAATTGTAACAAACAACTTCATTTTTCAGTTCATCTTAAAAATTATTTCGTAATATTTAGTAAAAATAAGTTTAGTTCAGTAAAAAAAAATCTTGTTTAGTAAAAATCAGTAACTTTTAAATAAGATATGTAATAGAGAATCAATTCATTAAAAATAATTTCAGTTTAACTGTTCTCATCTATTATACTCCCCATGTTCCTAAATAATTGACACACTTTCTTTTTCCATCCGTTTTCGAATAATTGACATGTTACTGAAAATGGCAGCGACCCACTTATATTTAATTGTTTTTCTATCTTATACAACGACCCATCACTTTTAATGTTTATATTTAAATTATCCCCACCTGCCACTCAAACATTCCACTAACTTCACTTTACAATGGCGCATGCAATATTTCTTTAAATAAAACAACACTCCACTAACTTCACTTTACAATAAAAGAAAAAAAAAAAATCAATAAAACTACCCAACTCAAACAATTCTTAAACTCAATGTGTCAATTATACGGGAACGGAGTGTATATTTCTTATAGACGAGCACAATTGAAAGATTGGGCTTGGACCAGATTAACAAGTGAAAATTTGCTGGTTTACTTGGGCAATTGGGCTTGTAGGAGATGATTATTTGGGCTACAAGTTGTTAGTATACTTAATAAACAAACTGCTTTTATGCAACCTATATTGCAACCATAAAAAGGCCCAACTCTCCCCTGGAAATCATTGCACAGCATAGGATTTTCAGTTCAATTATAACACCTCCTTCACAATAATTTTTTTAGGAACAATGCTCATAATAAAGCCCCCCCGTTCATTTTACCATATTTTTGCTGAACTGAAATTATTTTTATTGAACTGAAATTATTTTTGCTGAACTGAAATTATTTTTACTGAACTGAAATTATTTTTACTGATTTTCTATTATATTTCTTCTTTGAAGTTACTGATTTTTACTGAACTGAAATTATTTTTACTAAACTGAACTTATTTTTACTGAATTAAAATTATTTTTACTGAACTGAAATTATTTTTACTGAATATTATTTTAAGGTGAAGTGAACAGGAAATACATTTGAGGAAAAAAAAAAGAAGTATTATAACTCTTTTGATGTGTAATATTAAACTGAAATTGATATAAATTAAATCTTTACATTTGTATAAAATAAATCAATATAATCAAATCTAATTCGTTACTTTTATCTAGGTGGCGACATAATTTTTTAATTCAAAAATAAAATACAAATCTTTCTTTTTATTGGTCGAAATAAGCATATTTCTTACGTGGCACTCCGAATGCTCTCCAAAAGTGCCTACTTTATATATATATATATATATATATATATATATATATATATATAAATAAGATTAGATTAATCAATTTCCACAGTGGGGTCGATCGAACTATGATATCATTAAGTAGAGTAACTCGTACAAAAAATGGTTGAAAGTAATACATGCCGTAGATCAATATGAAATTTAATACGTTATGTAATATTAACACAAAAGAAGTAAAATGCACACTAAAAAGTTAAGTATGGACTATAGAGTATGGTCACAGGTCATCTCGGGGTTCAACGTGGAGATCATTGCAAATTTGCAATTGAGGGAACTTCGTCAAATCAATCTATTCAAACTACGATTTTCATCGGAGTAGTAAACAATTAAAGATTTTAGTTTTGCGAATGAAGATTTATTATTAGGTTGAGACTAAAAATGCATAAAAATAACAAAGAGGTAAATGATTATAGTCTATTATATTTAATAAAAACATATATACTCGTAATGCGTTGTTTAAATTTATGACGAACAACTAAATCAATTTTATCCAATAATCTTAGTAATAGTTTGTACAATGGGTATTATATTGAAAATTAGGTTAAATCCGTGCGATGCACAGTTTATATAAAACCTATTTTTATAATTTGTACATTTTAAAAATAAATGATATATATAAATAAGAATTATGCACTTTGTACAAAAATATTTTTAATTTTATATTTATAGATTTTCATCAAAATTATGATGTAATACGTACCTGTTCAACGTCGCCTAATACATATTTCAATATAGAAGTCCATTTATTAGTGTGCTATTTACAATTGTTTCAATTTTTAAAGATAAATTGATAAGTTGTAGTAGTAATGTAAAAGCTTCTAATATTCAAATTTCAAAATTGTTAAATATGGTAAGATCTACCAAAAAAAAAAAAAAAAAAAAAAAGATGGCATCATCCTTGTATTTAGGCGGGAAAATTTTTATTATGTGATTGACATGTAAACAGTGATGACATCAGCAACGGTTTGTTTTAGTAATAGTTAATAGATATGTTTAGAGTGAAAGCTAAAGAAATGTATATATATAATTAGCTATCAATATCTAATGTATA